TTTACTATAAGTTAATACTTTGAAATTAGAGAAATGGGGTTGATACGTTCTTAAGACACTTTTTTAAGTAGAATATACTGCCGTTGAAAAATTTAAAAAATATTTGATGATTTTTGAGATACAACACAAAGTTGTATTTTTTTAAATACAAACGATACTTGATTATGATGTTAATGAAAAGAGCATATTTTTAGCTTTCCAATGATGTATCGCATGTTTGGTGTATTTGTGGAAAATAAGCGTTAATTTTGAATTCCAAAATAGTAAGCGCTAAAGTTCAAAATTTTGATTATAGTAGGCGGGTTCGGACAGTAATTACTACCTAATTGCTATATGGTTTTGCACGAATATGATAGAAAGTTGTCTTGTACCATTATGCAGGATAAAGTTGGTTTTGTACCAACGAATAGAAACTTTGACTCTATATCCCATATATCTATCATTTTCAAAGAATCATTTTTTAATTTTATCACTTTATGTATTTAAAGATGAGATTTAAAGAAGTGTAGGTTGAAAATAAAAATAGGGTCAAAACGTGCCCTATTATGAGTTAAACATATTCCCCAAATTTCATTTTCCTAGCGTTTATGGTTTTTGAGAAAAAAAAATTAAACCAAAATTTTCCGCCATTTTTGAAGGGGTGTAGCTCCTGAGGGGAGCCGATGTCACCCATGGTTCATATATCAAAGTACCCTTAAAATTCACTAAAGAATCACCCCTTGAAGTTTGTTGCAGTCATTCTGTATACTATCTCCTATATCGCTAACTCCCTATCTAAGCAATGAGTGGCGAGCGTTTCCATCAAAAGCAGACGGAATGATATATGTTTTGTCTTTGTCGTGCCCCCATGTCGCGAAGGCGCTTGCGCGAATCGTAAATTTTAAAGAGTTTGAAGTGTTTCGCGCGTATTTTATGCAGCTTTGAAATGCAATTATTGTAGATAGTTGACTTTAATTATAAATTATCGTAGATGCATCAAATAAATTAGAATANTGTTAGGTAAGGTTAGTTTTGTTTACAAACATTAATTATACCTTGAAGTTTTCTTTGTATAGTACAAAACTAGAACTAACACTAGACCTAGAACTAGAAAGTTTCGGGTTTAGCCGTGCCTCTCCAGACGAAACTACGGCTAAACCCAAATATTTCTAGGCCTAATGTTAGTTCTAATGACAGTGCAAGTGTAAAATTAGATCTAACACTATACCCAGAACTAGAATCATTGAGGTTTAGCCGTCTTTAGAGACGTGCGGCTAAACCCAAATGATTCTAGTTCTAGGTATAGTGTTAGTTCTATATGTAACAATGCTAGTGTAAAACTAGAACTGGCAATATTCACTTAATAAATAGTTACAGTGACAAAATATGTCACTTTTTTTTTGAATTAGAGTGTAGATCCATGTTGCAAGTGAATTATTTAAAAATAAAACGACTTTTTTTTGAGGTTAAGTTTGATTTATTTAAAATTATTTTAATTAATTCTTATTTGTGATTATTTTTTAATTTATTTTTAATACAAATATTTAAATATAATTCGAAACATTATAAATTGTATGAATTAGATTACAGGAATCTATAATCTAAACAATTTGGGTTGCATAACGTATAAAACCTGTCATTTTGACATATACATTTTTATTTTTGTAAAATCTTAATGCGCGTGCACGCGCGCTTGTTAGGTGAAAGATTTATTTTCGTTCTTATCTCGAAAAATGTGTTTTATTTTAAACGTTAGCGTTGCTCGCGTACTTATTGAGGCGCCGTAAACAACTTTCTGAATTGGGGGGTTCGCTAAATAGAGTTTATAAAAAACGGTGCGCGCGCAACTTTTTGCCCACTCTTAAAAACCAAATCGCCGCTTTCAGAGTTTGTCTTTAGTTGCGTTTAAAGACGTTTCGTAACCTTCTCCATTTGATTTCGACTTTGAACCGCTTCGAAATAACTCCAAATCGATTGTTATAGTCGCGTTTAAATCATAGTTTTAAAAAAATTCGCACGCGATGGCTCACTGTATCAGAGTTTTGCATGGCCACGTAAGTTTAACCTCAATTTTTTTTCAACCCTTATAATTATGTATTATTTTTTTTTGTTAAAATTATATATTTTTGTTTGTTTTAGGGTGCTAAAGTAACCAAATTAGTTTTAAACGACGTCCAAGCAAGATGTTTTCATATATCACCTTTAGCCGCTGCCGCAGCGAGGGTTGCTATGAGCAAATTCGACCCAGATTCTTATTTACCCTATGATAGACTCGTGAAAAATCTACAAGTAGTTCGAAAGAAATTGAATAGGCCGCTATCTTTATCCGAGAAAATTTTGTATTCGCATTTAGATGATCCCGCAAATCAGGTAAAAATTATGTTTTTATGATAACCTTTTCGGCCTTTGAAATTGTGTATTTTGTACTTGTTTACGCCGATAGTTGTGGCGTGGAATTTGTTATTACGTTTTTTTTGTAGTTTATTTTAAAAAAGATTACGTAATTTTGACAAGGATAATAAGTGAGGTTAGGTTTATTTTGATTTAATTTTTTTTATTTTGGTACTATTTTTTTTTTTTATTTTGGTATTATTTTTTACTAGAAAAGCGGGAAATTTAAATTTTTAATAAAATAATCCAAAAAAAAATTAATTTGGACTTTGTAATTTTAAATAATTTAAAATCGATTAATAAAAAACAATTTCAATAAGATTTAGGGGGATTAAACGCATTAAATTAATCTTAAAAATTATCCTTTTCTTTTTTTGATTTCTAACCTAACTTTTTTTTATTTTAGGAAATTGTTAAAGGTGCTTCTTACCTTCGTCTTCGCCCCGATCGTGTTGCCATGCAAGATGCTACCGCTCAAATGGCGATGCTTCAATTTATCTCTTCCGGGTTAAGTCGAGTTGCAGTCCCCTCGACGATCCATTGTGATCATTTAATCGAAGCGCAACAAGGTGGTGAAAAAGATTTGGCGAGAGCGAAAGATTTAAACAAGGAGGTTTACGACTTTTTAAGCACCGCCGGAAGTAAATATGGGGTCGGCTTTTGGAAACCAGGTTCAGGAATTATCCATCAAATTATTTTGGAGAACTACGCCTTCCCTGGATTGTTAATGATTGGAACTGATTCCCACACTCCTAATGGGGGTGGTTTGGGTGGATTGTGTGTTGGAGTTGGTGGAGCGGATGCTGTGGATGTTATGGCGGGAATCCCATGGGAATTAAAATGTCCCAAAGTTATTGGAGTTAAATTAACCGGAAAATTATCAGGTTAAATTGATTTAAAATCGTTTAATTTATTTATATTGTTTAAATTAAATTTATTTTTAAGGTTGGACAAGTCCCAAAGATGTAATTCTAAAAGTAGCAGGCATTTTGACAGTGAAAGGAGGCACTGGCGCCATCATCGAATATTTTGGCGAAGGTGTTGATTCGATTTCCTGTACAGGAATGGGAACGATTTGCAATATGGGTGCGGAAATCGGTGCAACAACCTCCGTTTTTCCATTCAATTCCCGCATGGCGAGCTATTTAAAATCAACGAATCGCGATTCAATCTCTGCAGCATCATCCACCGTCCAAAAAGACCTTTTAACCCCCGATCCAAATTGCGAGTACGACCAAATAATCGAAATTAACCTAAACGAACTTAAACCTCACGTCAACGGCCCGTTCACGCCGGATTTAGCCCACCCGATTTCGACGTTATCCGAAACGGCTCGCAAAAATAATTGGCCAATTGATATTAAAGTTGGGTTAATTGGTTCTTGCACGAATTCTTCGTACGAAGACATGACGAGATGCGCAAATTTAGCGAAACAAGCATTATCAAACGGAATTAAATCGAAAATTCCTTTTAATGTAACTCCAGGTTCGGAACAAATCCGCGCAACAATTGAACGAGATGGAATCGCACAAACTTTAAGGGATTTTGGCGGCACCGTTTTAGCGAACGCTTGCGGACCTTGCATTGGACAATGGGATCGTAAAGACGTTAAAAAAGGAGATAAAAATACGATTGTTACATCGTATAACAGAAACTTCACCGGAAGAAATGATGCTAATCCGGCTACTCATTGCTTTGTGACTTCCCCTGAAATGGTTACCGCTTTAAGTATAGCTGGAACACTCGATTTTGATCCCACGAAAGATGAATTAACTGGTATTAATTAATTTCTTGTAAATTTAATTTTATATTAATTAATTTTCGATAGGTGCTGGAGGTAAAAAATTCAAATTAAGCGCTCCGTTTGGTGATGAGCTCCCATCGAGAGGTTTTGACCCCGGTCAAGACACCTACAAAGCTCCCCCTGGTGATGGTTCAAGTGTGAAGGTCGATGTTAGCCCGAAATCGCAACGATTACAATTACTTGAACCTTTCGATAAATGGGACGGAAAAGATTTAATTAATATGGCCATTTTAATCAAAGTAAAAGGTAAATGCACCACTGATCATATTTCGGCAGCCGGACCCTGGCTCAAATATCGCGGACATTTAGACAACATCTCAAACAACATGTTTATTGGGTAAAATAAACACATTTATTTATTTTTTATCTTAATTAATTAATTAAATTTAATTTAGTGCTGTTAACGCCGAAAATGGTGAAATGAATAAAATTAAAAATCAATTAACTGGTGAGTGGGGCTCCGTACCGGATGTGGCCCGTCATTACAAAGCGAACGGAGTTAGATGGGTTACAGTGGGTGATGAGAACTACGGCGAAGGTAGTTCTAGGGAACACGCCGCTTTAGAACCACGTCATTTAGGTGGTAGGGCGATTATTGTGAAATCATTTGCTCGCATCCACGAAACTAACCTTAAAAAGCAAGGAATGTTACCGTTAACTTTCGCCGATCCGAAAGATTACGATAAAATCCAACCCACCGATAAAATCAGTTTGTTGGGTTTGGCCAATTTGAAACCGGGGGCGCCGGTTAAGGCGGAAATAAAACATCAAAATGGAAAGAACGAAACGATTATGTTGAATCATTCGATGAATGAGCAACAAATTGAATGGTTCAAAGCGGGTAGTGCTTTAAATAGGATGAAAGAATTAGCTCGTTAATTATAGATAAAAAAATGTAATTAGTTTCTTTTTGTTGATGTTTTATTAATAATTAATTTTAAAAAAATTATTGGAACGTATCCTTTTTTAAATTTTTTTTTACATTTCCAAGTTGGTACTCCTTAAAATCGTCCATCTTTTCCTAACCAAATTTAAAACTGTCAGTTTGTGGTCGAAATTGAAACGGGAAATTCTGAGTAAGTGATTTTATTTTCATTAATAAAAGGGGATAATGTATAATTCAAGAATCATCATGTCGCTTAAAAATCGACATTTCTTTTAATCGGCGGAAAAGTGTAAAACTTTGCGAAAAATCATTTTAAAGTTTCAACGTGACGTCATCGATCATATATTTTCGCAGCACATTTGGTTAAAATGCATATTTTCGGATGAAATACGGTTGTCTCTTAGGTTTTACACCTTATTGGTTCCTGAATACCACAATGTTGGCAAAAGACTAAGTATTGCTATCGGAAGATTAAATACTGCTTGGAAAGAAGAAATACTATTTCTAAATGTTACCTACTGCTTCCAAAATGCTAGATTTTGATGGAAAAGATTACAATCTGCTTGGAGAAGAAAACTATATAGTGCTAACAAACAACTACAAACTGATTGGAAAGACAAGATACTGCTTTCAGTATTAACACAGAGTTTATTATTGAGTGGTTTAATAGGAAAATGCATGGTTAATGCAATCACATCAAAAGTTTAATGTGATTTTTCGTTGTTCTACATTTTTCCGCACTTCTTTTTATTTTTGACGTGTTTTTTGGGTCATTTCGCATTGATTCTTGAATTTTTCCGGGGATAATAATAAAACGCCGATTTCATTTTTATGACAAAAACGTATTTTTACTAAATATAATCACCTCTATACGTTTTACAATTATTTATTTATATATTTTTTTAATCATTTTATCCTTAATTTAATGATTTATTTATTTATATGTAATTAATTAATAACTATTAAACGTAAATCGCTGCTATTAACTATTTACATTTGAAAAACGATCTCACATTTTTAAAGACATCAAGAAAAAAAAAAAAACAACGCGTAGATAATAAAAACAGATAATAATAATGAAATGATTGCTACATCTAAAAAGCGGATAGAGAGATATAGACAAAGAGAAAAAATAAAATAATAGACAAGATAATTACGTGATGGAATCGGAAATTATTCACGTTGGCACTTATTAAAATAAATCTTTTCATTTTTTTTTTTAACAAAGCGAATATTTATTCGTAGCAATAATAATAATATATAATATTTATAATTATTTTTTTATTTATTTATATTTATATATATAGATCCTTTTTTTTTAATTTTTAGAGTAAATCTAAAACCGCTTTCTTTTTGTCGACTTTTGGGAGGGGGGCGGCCAATTCGCTAGTTTCCGGCCGATTCTTCGTTACAAATTAAAAACCTTTAAAAGATCATTGAATTACAATCACAACTTTTTCGTTAAATATTAATAAAACGACAAAAACTGCTTGCTTGCTATTTATTAATATATGAGACTAGTTTCGGGCATCTTCAGCCAAATCTATACGCACAACATAGAAGACATTATACAAAAATCCAATTAATATGTCAAAAATGTCACTATAATAACAACATTTTTATGTTTATCTTGATCGATTTTATAAATTAACACTTTAAAATCATCAGCGTTGAGTACTTGTCGAAAATTGAGGTTGTGTTTTCTACATTTCGAAAATACTCAAAGTGGTGACTCGAAATTTACACATTCAAATTATTTAAGTACAAAAATAAAAGTTTATATTGTATTTCTAACTGTTCGTTAAATAATTCGCCCTTATTATTAAATTAGTATGAGTATCTTATTACACCTGTACAAGATACTCAGATACAACAAATGACAGTTTATTTGACAGCATCTCAAGAGTAATCGTGCCAATTTAGAGCTTTTTTGAATGAACGTTGGGTGAGATATGGGGTTTTAGAAAGCATGGTGAAATTTGCCAAAAAACAACTTAAAATCAAAATAACTCGAAAACGAAAAACTCTTTCATAAACAACTTTTTTGAAAGTCAACATATTTTTTTATGTACAGGCTGGTTCAAATTCGATGTCTGAATAGGCTATCTCGGAAACTATAAGAGTTAGAAAAAAGTAGCTTACATGTC